ACTAAATAAATCTAACCTTGCAACTAAACATATCTAACCTTGCAACTACTGATAACTAACTTTGCAACTAGATACAACTAATATTGCAACTACAGAGAACTAGTATTGTAACTACAGACAACTAACCTTGAACTAAACACAAATAACCTTGCAAAAACAGATAACTAAACTTGCAACTACAGACAACTAACATTGCAACTGCAGATAACTAAACTTGCAACTACATTCAACTAAACTTGCAACTGCAAACAGTTAATCTTGCAAGTAGATACAACTAACATTGCAAATAAATATATCTAACCTTGCAACTACTGATAACTAACTTTTGCAACTAGATAGAACTAATATTGCAACTATAGAGAACTAACCTTTACAACCACAGACAACTAACCATGCAACTAAAACACAAATAACCTTGCAAAAACAAATAATTAAACTTGCAACTACAGACAACTAATATTGCAACTGCAAATAACTAAACTTGCAACTACATTCAACTAAATTTGCAACTGCAAATAGTTAACCTTGCAACTAGATACAGCTAACCCTGCAACTACAGACAACTAACCTTGCAACTACAGACAACTAACCTAGCACCATTAAACAACTAATCTTGCAACTACAGAAAAAATAATATTGCAACTACATGCAATTAAACTTGCAAAGTTAGTATAAAAATGAAGTATAGTTAGTGATAAAGTGCTGCACAATTAATGTCATAATAATGCACAGTTAGTGTCCTCATTTTAAGTGTTGTCCTCTTTTTAAGAGTTGTCCGCATTTCATCCGCCCCTTATATATATACATATATATATACACATATATTTGATGTAAATGTGTAATATAAAGAATTACGAGGTGAAAATTCCTCTAATGTTATTGGGACTAAGTGATTCGATTTATTTTTTTTAAACAAAAAATAGTATTGGCATTGAAATTTTGATTTTTCGTTTCCATTTTCTTTTATACGTGATTTTAAAATTTTGTGTTTCAAATTAAGATGGTCAGTATTAATCCTAACATATCTTTATAAATAGATCCATCTTTTGCATTAGTGTTCTTATTTGTTCATTTATATGTTATCTTTCATGTCCCTCATACGTTGTTGTCTATAGATGCCATATGAAGAAGGATGATGGCGAGTCACCGGACATTCAAATTAAATACAAGTGCATTTTAGTAGAGGTGTAGCCAGACAAAAAAAAAAAAAAAAA